GAAATGGCATTCCGTACCTTTGGACATATGGTTTGTATTCTTAATTACAAGTTTGATTGGTTTTACGTTGCATTACCTCTTAACCAAGTACAAAATTATTATCAATTTAACTTGAATTAATCAAGGCTTGCATTTACAGATTAAAAATGCTGACCTATACATTATTATAGTTTATAGTCAAATTTAACAATTTACCCCGAGAGTTAGCACGGGGTGTATGGAAGTGGCCCACTTCAGGCGCATTCATATATAGCTAGTTAAGGTACATTATTATTCATACTTACATACCATCTGGTGGGAAACCTATGAGAAACTTGGAAGGTTATTCAGCATCATCCGAGGGCCGTGGGTAACCCAGCATCGGTATATGGTGCAATGAAGAATCTTTCTTGATTCACTCCCATTGTAAACGTTCAATGCTTTTTGAAACTGTCTTTAACAGGACCCGAACTCACTTTCCCTCAAGCTTGTTGATTACCAATCTTGCGCGCTTCCACTGCTCATCTGGCCTCAATTCTATACATTATCTTGTTTTAATCTCTATTTTAGTTCCGTTATGGGGAGCCATCAGTACGTCGAACTGTTCCACTTGCTCTATCACTCATCTCTGTGTCAAATCCCCAACTACCTGTGCTCGATACCTTGTCGAAGTTCAGTCACGATTCAGATAACGATGTTTCACACAATGCAATATTCGGAATGGGATTAGTTGGAAGTGGTGAGTATAATTACAGCTAAAATTTGTTTCATGTAACATTACTCAAAGCGCTAGGTATCATCTTTCAAATCATTCTAATATCGAAGTTTTCAAGGAACAGCTTTCATTATGCATGTGTTGTTCCACTAAGTCCACAGAGATGCCAGTATGTACCAGTTGAGCAATTTAGGTGAAATTGTTAACCTGTAAGAGTTATTTTTCTGGTATTTATCTTTCAACGATTCATATGAGATATGATGCTTAATAACATTTAAGTTCTGGACCACAAAATGCGTGACTGATTCTGTATATTTTGACCTGGACAATAGGACAATTTCATATTACCGTATATGCTCGTTTTACCGCCCGATCTTGATTAAGGGCCCGCTTGAATACCCGTCCGATATAAAGCTGATTTTTGTGGTAGAGAACAATAGGAAATAAGAAGCGCTTTTGTCGCAACGCTGTTGAATTTTAAGCGCCAGTAGATAACACTCACGCCTTAGGCGTCCAAGTACATAACAGATAGCATTGATTACGTAACACCATGGTTCTCAAACTGGGCGTCGCGACGCCCAAGTACGCCGGTTCAATATTGATAGGGCGTCGCAAAACTTTTCTTCTTTTGCGGATTTGTGTCTGTGGTGCGTAGAAAAAGTCAAAATTTTCGTTATTCTCGTTTAAATCATACTTGAGAACTGGAAATAACAATATATTAATTATTGTAACGATCGAAAATAACAAGCGCCCGTGCTTGAATAAGGGCCCGGTTAGTGAGTTGGTTGAAAAAAATATGGGCCCGGGCTACAAAACAAGCAAATACGGTAGTTTAAATTGACAGAGCTTGGAGACTTTGATTTTCACTTCATTTTCGTTTTCAAAATCCCAAATAGGCTTATATTATTGTGGACTTATTAAACATGCTTCAATAAATACCAATACTTTGGGGTATATCTGAAATAGTTTTAAACCTCCAGTGTGCTTGTTATCAACTTATGTATTTATTTTTTTCAGGTACTAACAACGCAAGACTTGCACAGATGTTGAGAAATTTAGCTGTTTATTACAGCAAGGATGCCAGTAATCTATTCCTTGTACGGCTGTCACAAGGACTTGTTCATTTGGGCAAGGTACTTTGCATTTTAAATTTTGATTTCATTACTTTGTGAAATGTAGATTGCTGTAATATGTTTTTTATATCTAGGGAACGTTGACACTACAACCGTTCCACAGTGATAGACAACTTCTCAGTCCTGTTGCACTCGGTTCTCTACTCTCTGTCATTATTTCATTCTTGGATGTTAAAAACAGTAAGTACAATAATGTTGTTTTCCCCAGGTTTAATAGTTTGTTTTTATCGCCTGGTACGTACAGTTTAGTAAAAACAGATGATTCAGTGGATACAAAGAAAATTTTTGCATCTGTAATGTCAAGAGCTTATCACAGCTTTACATCAAACAGGGATATAGACAAGTTAAAAGTTAGTTTATAGAAAATGAATAGCGAAAGTATATGAGACTAAAAACAAGACCAAAAAACAATGGCTTCGCAGCTTGCTTCCAACAGGACCTCTTAAAGTCTAAACATAGGCAACGCAATTTGTTACATTTTTGAAAGGAGATGTGGAAACATAGCATTTCCATCTTTAGCACTTGAGTTAGTTCCAGTTTGCTGTTGCACCTACCTATGCCTTTCCTATCCATCGTATATTCAATCAAAACAAGTTCATAATGTCTAAAAGTTATCGAAAGTAGGTACGGTAATAATTACTATGTAAGACGTCTGATTACATAATAGCTGTTATTGCTTTATCAACTATAAGTGATCTAAAGTTATTCCTCTTCTATAATTTTTCAGTTATTCTTGGGAAGAGTCACTACATGTTATACTCTATTGTTCCCGCAATACAGCCACGAATGCTCGTAACTTTTGATGAAAATCTCCAACCATTACCAGTTAGCGTTCGTGTTGGTCAGGCAGTTGATGTTGTTGGACAAGCTGGAAAACCCAAAACTATAACAGGTATAAAGAAGTGCTTGGTGGAGTTATTTTTAATAATTTAATAGGATCAATGATTGGCGCATCATGCAAGCATCAGGACAGGCCTGCCATCACAGGCACTTCTGATTACCTTGCGTTGGTTCGAAAGGTTGATAATTATGTGAACTGTGGATGCTGCACTGCTCGCATAATACAAGGGTTCACATGGCTTTCACCATCAACAAGTCAATACATTTGAAACAAACAGTTAAATATTCTCATACTTGCTGTGGACTGGCAACTGAACAAGTCGCTATGGTTTGCCATACGATTAGCCAATTGTCTTCCTTGTATTGTATAAAAGTTCTACTCCCTGCATCTGATTACCCTTTGTGGGTTTGTTATACATTGCTGGACATCTCACTGTTGTGTTTAGTATTACTGATGATCAACTGTGTTATATGTGTTTGCTTAGCGCCTTAAACTTATCCACTGTCCACATATGGAAGGATTAACTTGGCTATTCCTATATTATGCATTTTATCCTCTTTACTTTTATATTGGTCTGTGTCATCATGGTTTTCTTTATTCTAATGTTTCTCATTGCAGGATTTCAAACACATACAACACCAGTGCTTCTTGCTTATGGAGAAAGAGCAGAGCTTGCTACAGAAGAATATCTTCCATTGAATCCAGTGGTTGAAGGTTTCGTCATATTAAGAAAAAATCCAGATTATGAGTGAAAATTAACTTATTTGGACTTGGACAATTTTTTCTACTGAACCTTTTACAAGGATTTAAATATGGATATGGTCGCACGATATAGGATATCTAGTTGTGATCAATGTGTTTCTGGTCTTGTCACCTGTATACTTATGTAAACTATTATTGAGTTTATGTAAAGTTCCCTTTTTGGAATCGTAAAAACATTCTCGCATATTGATTCCTGTTTTATTAGGTATTAGTATTATGTCAGAGTTGTTTGTGCTTGCTGTTTTGTTAAAGGAGCGTTTTAATCGAGATAGCTATCAGTGATGCGAAGACCACAAAATTAAGCAGGGAAAATTTAAAAAAAAGCCGTTGTCAACTTTCGATAGATGATGAACAAGTGTACTTGCAGCACTCTTGCTTCTCACGATTGCTGCGACCATGCGCTAGGTACGAGAAATAGCGCCAATCTAGACCTATAGCTTTTGGTAGAGCTTCTATTTGAATGGGCAAATATTCCAGACACTTTCTGTGCGGACCTGAAAATACCACGCCCTTTCTGTTCACAAACTTTCCACTAGCAGGTACATATGGCATAAATATGCTGAATTGGTTTACCTGCTGTTGATTGTTATATTGAAAAAACTGGAATTCGTTAAAATACAGTGGCCATGTTTATTATTTATTTCAAGTTTGGCAGAGGTTTAATTTCAATAAATTACGCAGAAATACAAACTACGGTATATATATTTGCGTATCAAGACTAAGCCAAAATATTTCAACGATTGTCGATTAAAATGTCTCGAAATAAGGACAAATTGAATTACAAAAATATTTAATCGCATTCCTATCCTTCTATCTTAAAGTGAAAAAGTCGAAATAAAAATAGTCAAATTGAAACGAACTAACAACAACACAGTATCATACATACGTACAGCTCTTACATTGAAAGAAAAAGTCTTATGGTAGCTGTTCGTCGCATAACTGATTAAACCAGCGGGGGTGTATACCTTGTGAAGTGATAATTTCTGTACTTCGTCTTCTCTGTCGCTGATTTTGGATTTTCAACTCGTACCATTGGAGCGCTCAACAACTGTGTAGCAATTATCATGCTGTAACAGCTAGTCTTACAACAACAATAAATTGCTATATGATTGAGCAATCTTATCCTATTTCCCCCGCCGTCATGGAAATTCTATAATATTGATCGCCAAAATAATTCCGTCCCAAGACCGTGGAAATTGTCATATTTGGAGTACGTCAGTTATGAGTACCCTAAGCCTAATGAGTTGTCATACGGTTAATAAAAGCGCATTTTGTGTGTATTTTCGGGCAATCCGTGATTCGCAAAACTACATGTTGAAATTGCCTTTCCCGAACCCAAAATTTATATCCATTTATCTCCTGTCATCACCGGGCAGCCAGAATGAAGACTATCACGATCGATTGTTCCGTTCGTCAGCAAATTGAACCAAGGATTGCACTTCCCTTTATTGGTTTTGCGACAATTCTCAGATTGGGAAAACAGTATTCCCTCTTGATCTACGTCGGAAAGATACATCATAAAGTCGCTATTCGATCACCTTGTTTTCAAAATTCTGTCCTTCCTTTGCTTTTACACGAATGCGTCCATGTGTAAATCGTAGTGACCTCCCACGCCATAATTAGATATTGATAACTCTTCGACGTAACGAGAATCAAACTTTGTAACATCGGCTACCCTTCTGTTTATTTGCCACAATTTCGAAACGTTTTTCCTCCAGAAAAACTGTTTTTGTAACTCTGCTGTCGCTCTCTCTTCCCCGCTTTCGCCGTTACTGACTTTTGCTCGATACATCAGAGGCGACGATACTTTTTTCAATATCTCGATCTCATCGTCACTTATGAAATTGTACAATCGGGCCACGAACGGCTTCTACTTTCAATCTCTACTTTAACTGGACGAAAAACAAGCGCGGATTTCTGTTTCCGTCCACAAATAACATCGTAATGGCGGTCCCTGAATTCTGGTCAGTGGTTTCTTCCCTTGGCAAAGTTGTTCCAAAAGACTGTGATTTTTCAAAGGTTTTTCATGGGCATACTTTTCAAGGACACCGTAAAAGTTACCAAGAAATGGCGCCAACTTTTGTTGTTCTGCTTGCGCCATAACATGTCGATAAAAATCTGCCATTTCAATAAAATCCGGGGCAAATCTGGCAATCTCTCGCAATGTTTCATACGCCATAGGTAAGTTACCGTGTGCATACACGCATCTAGCTAACAGATATAATACTTTTTCGGCGTTTATGGAGTTGTCACCATTTCTCATTTTATTCAAGGCAGTTTCTTGCCACTCCGCACAAATTTGAGACTGGTTATTCGCCAAAGCAACATCACCGATGTCATAACAGTCTCCCGCAGAAAGTGAAATTCCAGAAACAGATTTCCCAATTATCCCAAGAGCCATATCAGGTGCAGAGATACCGTAAATTAACTGAATACGAATTAATCCGCTAATCGATCCAAAGACATCAAGAGAAGTTGGTAACGTAGGACGGTTGCGGTCAATTGTCCATAAAAATTTCTCAGATGCGTTTCTATCGCTCACAGCGCTTCTTACTCCTTCCCAAACGTATGCTAACCGCTTCATAAGTGCGTACTGATTAATTGGATTTTCCATACATGCTCTGACATTACTTGCAGAACTACATGAAGTAGTGTTCATGATTTTCAATGCCTCTTCCAGATAATTCAGTCTTGAATTTTCATAAGTGATGTAATCGCTCAGAGATTTCAGGAGGTCAACTTCTTTTTCTAACAGCTTTTCCATGTGGGAAAATGAAGAAAACCATTCTCCGCGTATTGGCATAGAAAATATAATGATGACTAAAAATGCCTTCATTTTTAATTCAACTGAAAATATGTTAAAATGTTCAAGAAGTTATAGGATACTTGAATCGCTATTGTCACGAAAGAATATAGTCTTGTTAAAGGGAGGATTTTATTAAAATTTTAGCATCTCCCAAGTGTAACATAAACGGTACGAAGTAAAGTGCTTCGAAAATAAATATATAATAACAGTATTGTAAGGCACAGCATTTTCCAATGTGATTTCCACGAAAAAAAACAGTCGAATCTCTTAATTCTATAGTTTAGGCAAGTCATCAGAATTTTTTCGTCAAGCAAATACATAAATCAATACATAGTTTTTTAGGTTCCATTACATTTGAACCCACGTACATTTGAACCCATGACAATTGCACCTATGGAATTTTTTTTGTTTCACGGATAGTTAAACCCATACTAACCCTAACCCATGGGTTTTAGCACCCGCATATAGATTGAACCCCAGGGGCGGACACTTTCCATAATTTTGGGGGGGCGAACTTGGATCGCCTACCGAAAAACACCGCGCCGTGTATCGTCACGTAACAATAACCTGTCGATGTCATTCTCTAAGTATTAGCATGTCATTTTGCTACTCATATATCGAGTACCTAGGCTGCTTTGCTCGGACACGGAACTTGCGCGTCACTGAACCAATTTCTTGAATTCCGCGAGAATTAGCCCACGGCTCTTGCTAACAAACAGAAAATAACAAATTTGAGGAGTCGTATTAGGTTATTGTTTCAATTCCTAGTTCTGCATAAAGCGCACTAACGCCGTTTAGTAAAATTAGAAATGCAAAACAAGGTAACAAGCTATTGTGCGAATTTTTCAAAGTCGGAACTTCCCATTGCCGTCTGCAACAAGCACCGCGATTACGCGCTCGTTAAAAGAGCCGCTTATTTGAGCGTATAATGATTTTTCTGTCGATCCATGACAGCCACGAGATTCTAAAATGTTCTTATATATTAATTTAATAGTGTGCAACGTAACTCGCGGTTGCGACTTCTTTCGTCAAAATAAAAATATTACTAAGCTACGGCGTACCACGGCGATATGTGGACATAAAAATATGAGATAAGCTGCCTGATGTATTTAATTTTGATACCTATTTTTGCAATCTTCCGAACTCGTTATCGCCGTTACAAAAATCTCGATATCTGATATAAAATCCCATATAGTACAATTTTAATTCATACAATGAAAATAATTATAAAGTATACTAGTAAATCAAAAATACATATTCACCGCCTCGAAATCCACGCGGAACAGTCGCCGCGATTACGCCATTTGTTAAAAGAACCGACTATATCAACGAAAAATGATTTTTCACTTGTGCAAAGTAATCAATCAAAGACCGATACGGGCATATTCAAAATGTCTTGATTTATTAATTTAATTGTCTTCAATTTAAACTGCGGCTGAGTCGACAAAACAAGAGCCACTCTAAAACACGACGGCAATCCGCGGACATAGAAATGTGTGGTAAACTGCCCGTTTATATATTGTTTTGATCCGTATTTTTGCTATTTTGCGAATTCGATAAATTTGAGATGTACTTGTCACACTGGCTCCGCTCAATCGCAATGTTGTCACTCCGATTATTTTTAAAGATAAAACCTTTCGAAAAATCCGTAAATTTTCTGTCAATTCTCACGTAGTAAAAGTTATTTCGGTACAATAAAAATATAAATAAATACAAAAAGTGATCGAATATACTTTAATTATCTTATATATCATCATAAACCGGGGAAAAGTCGCGTTCTCAGCTTTGTTTGTTAACACGAAAATTTTCGACGTCAATTTAAAAGTAATGGATAAAAAGGCAAATCCCGCTCACAATTGACCGTGTTTCGATTTTAGTGACGAAATGTTTTTAAAGGTCAAGCAAACATAATTTGTACCGTAGGCACACGAAATTTTGCGATTTTCGATGCCTAGAAAAGCGTTTTTAGACTGTCGCGGGCCTCAACAAAACTTATATTGTTTACAGTTTTACTTTTAGTATTTTATATTGCCGCTTTCCAACTTTTCGACATAGTAAATGCTTTGATCTTTGCCCGCAAATTATGCTGGGCCTTGCACGAAATACACAACGTGAAAAGATACGTCCAGCGGTGAAAATTGTTTATAACAACTTTAGATCTAGTTAATTTTTAGCGATAATAATTAATTGTTGTAATGAAACACAGTTTGCCTCTTTCACTTCTCTCGCAAGTGCCAACAATAACACTATTGAAAGATTTTGACAATGAGAAAACCATATTAAATTGTTCAAAAATGAATTAGTTGTGCAAAACCGTGGCGCGTGATCGGCGGTGCGTTTGAAGACGGAGTATTACCCGCGCGGGCGCGCATGTTTCACGAAAATGTGAGGTGCTCCAAGGCGCTCTGGTCCACATTATTGTAAGAAAACAGTTATAATATCGGTAACTATTAACCGTTTAATTACGCTTGACTGTCGCACTTTTCGGAAATGATAATTTTGTAAGGCGGAAACAATATGTATCAAATTGTTTAAGAAATTATTGTGGGGGCGACCGCCCCCCCTCGCCCCCCCGGGTGTCCGCCCCTGATTGAACCCGTGGATATACGCATGAGTTCAAATGTACATGGGTTCAAATGTACGGTCACCAGTTTTTCATGGTAGAAGTTAGCTTAATTTGAAAATGTTGATATTTATTGGTTTACTTTATCAAATCCATCACGACTGGCAGAGTTTCAAGTGGTCCGCTTCAGAAATGATGCGACAAATGTAAGCCTCAAAATTATACCCGAAAATAGTTGGTCAGAGCCACGGCATAGCAGAGTTAAGACCATATAAATGAGCGGACTACTCACATTTTGGATCCAAACGGCAACATAGAAATCAGATTTTTAGATTCGAATGTTTTATTAGACCAAACTAATAAACAGTATGTTGCAGCATTAACTAAGCTAGATTATTTATTCTAACGAAGTAGTACAGTACCGGCACGTACACATTCGTGGCTGGGTGAATGGGAACAACCTATTCAGAACGTGACAGTTGAAATTGAATTTTTCAAAAAAGGATAGGACTATTCTAGCTATTGCAGTACTTTTATTTCACAATCCACTTTGATGTGCTCTGCTGTACTACATTGGATATTTTTTCATAGGCAGAAAACGAAACCTCAATTTTAAACTCAAGCCTGTCATGCAAATTCCAACGTGGCTCATACACTACGGAGGTAACCGTAAGAACATTTGTTTGTGATATCACAATACCAGTAATACTTTTATAATGGTCATAAGACATGAATGAAGCTTTGAAAGAATAGTAGGTAAAATTTAGTTTTGACCAAGCTAAAAAAGGACTTTTTATATACAACCTAATATAAAACTGTATTCATTGCTTGCATGAGACATTCGTTTACACAGCAATACTGCAAAAGTCAAGGAATAATAAAAAAAAAAGTTATTTCATAATTTAAGCCAGCAGAACCTGGCAACAATTGAGATTTTGCGATCTTTTATGGCATGTCTGTGTGAGGTAATTGAGGTTGCACCGAATTTTTCGGCTGCGTATTTTATCCTCTACGTCTAAATCAGTGCAGGCCTTACAGAAGGTATTTTTTGTTTTGCATCAGACATGATTGTTAGCATTGTCATATATAACTTCGAAGTTAGAATTGTTATGTGTATATTACGAGAATTTTTATTTTTTGCGGTACAATATAATATTTCAACATAGACATGTGTTTTACACGATTTTACTTCAGACACAGGAATGTATACTAACGTTTTGCATGTGGCTTGTATGGTCAATATCATCAGAGGAGGAACACTGACAATAGAAATCCATCCACTTTTTCAAAGCAGATCATGCTGATGTACAACTGTTTTACAAAATTAGACAGTCATGATATACAAGACCGATCTATATAAGACCGATTTTTTTGTCGTGTACATGCATCACTAAACACTTGAACATAATAAAAATTAAACGCAAACTCGAAAACAGAATGATTCAAATCTGGTAATCGATCACTTAACTGTTTTTGCTATATATTGGCTCTATCGTAAGCTCTATACTAGTTTCTCTGCATTTACTACAAAAATAAATTTGTTCAACATTTAGAACCTCAAATAGTAATGGTGAAAGCGATGGTTGCAAAGATTTTGTGACCCGAGTATTATGATTCAACGCGGAGTCACGAATTGGAAACCCATTTACTTTCACATTGCACGATTAAAAGCTCCTATGCCGATCAGATGAATCCGGCATACATATCCCAGGATCGAATATTGCACATCTTCACTGTTTATATTTTCTTCTTTCCTTCTGTTTATCTTCAGCTCGAGTAAAGATTGAAATTCGAGTTTGTAGATACTTCCTTAACACAAGTTTAATGTAGGCATTTCGAAAAGTTGCATAATATAGGGCAGGGTGGTCGAAACACATGTTGCCCGCCGCTTCATTTTCTGTGGCCCGCGTCGCATTCGGGGGGTAATCAAAAAATCACATTTTGTGTTGTTTCGTCATAAAATTAACCAGATAAATCTCTTGACATATTGTTACATCAATAATGTCACGGAATTGACTAGTTTTATGGCTAGCTGAGGTAACTAGCGAAGTTGAATGATGTGCTTGGCAGTCCAAATTGTTATCTGTCATTCTATCGTTTTGGTCGGGGATATATGCTAACAATTCTGGTATCATAGAAATCTAAATTCTATTAGCATAGGTTGGCTATGCCTGATAACTAGATACTAATGTTACGCCTAACAATGTAATTCATGCTGGGTGTTTTTTGCAACCAGTCTATTAGTAATCAATCAAGCAATATTCATTTATAATGTAAGTTATTTTGTAAACATGAGTTTGAAAAAAAGCTTACGAATTCAAACAAATTTTTAACTGGACGTGTGAAGTAAAATACCACAATGCTTTTATGATATTTATGTCTGCAAGGGGTGTCGGTGATAAATGAATTAAATTTTAAACAGCATTTTAGAATATTCCGAGTAATGAGCATTTTCCAAAGTTAAGAT